CAGGAATGCCTTTGAGTTAAGAGGCTCAATTTCTCCACCATTTGCGTAGATGTCACGTTCTTATTGCTCGCCCATTAATGAGGAGATTGCATACATTTTTATTCGCAGTGCAATGGGTGTAGAATATATAGTAGTGAAGCCACTGCGGCTCCCTCATTTCCTCAATTTGTAGAACTCCTTGAACTACGAGCATCTAGCCCTCATTCGATGGAAGATGGTACTCTTCGCCCTGTTCTTCACCTGCCCATTCATCGTTGACCTCCTCCACTACCCCCTCCTCGATAAAGGACACAACTTGACTCGTCGAGCAACTTGGGGCGATGTGTCCAAATCTATGGCATCTGAAGCACTTTCGCGCTGGGAGTGTAGCGGGTGTGCTACTCTTTTCTAGCTTCTTACTTTGAGTGGTTATGTCCTTATCCTAACCCCCACTTCTCAGCTCCCTAAGACCTTCTCCTGTTGATATCTCCACCTGCGGGAGGTGGTCTGAATGGTGGTGGTTGCATGCACTGTTTCTGTTATCTCTAAGCTTTCAATGCCAAGTTCTAGAGATTTCCTAATGACTAATAGGGTTGCAGCTGCACAATGTTGTTGATAGCGGGCTTTAAACCCCCAAGATATTGGGCTATAGAATGTTCCTCTAGCTCGATTAACTCACGCTTTATCTACAACTACTCAAACTGTATTGTGAACTCCACCGATAGATTTCTCTGTTGTGAGCTGTGGAGTCTCTAAAACATATCCTGACGATAATTATGAGGCGGGTACTTTCTCTTCATCTTTTTCCTCATCTTCTTCTATCTAGTAATCTTGTCTAGGTCTTTCTCTTTCTCTTTCTCTCTCTGTGTAAGCTTCCCATCATGAGGAAGTGCTTTTTTCAGTTTGATGGCTGCAAGCTTCACTCTCTTATCTTCTTGCATTTCTCTGTACTCGAAGATTCTCTCAACTGACTGTAATCACTCGATGAAATTGTCGGGATCCATGCCTCCATCGAATCCCGATAAGTCCACCTTTATTCTGAAATTTCCATATCCTCCATATGTGACATCCTCTTTTGACCTCCCTTGATATTGAATTATAAAATGTCGGTGCCTATCTTCTTCCTTACTAAAGTATTCTCTGTGGAAAGTGTTCATGCCCTCATCCCTTTCTCCTCTTAGACTTTCCATATCACGATCTAGAGTGATTTTTCCCTGGTTTCCATCATCAATCTCCACAAGTTTCTGTTGAAGCCGACAGACCTTTTGTTGTTTATTCATGGGTAGGTTCCTTTATGTGTCTCCATGGTGGTATGATTAGGGTTTGGGTATTGGAAGAGATGGTTGAGGATATTAAGAAAAAATTTGGGTGGGGGTGGTTTAGTCAAGGCATATGCTAGGAAATTCTAGGTGGATAGGTCTAAAGTTATTCTAGTTTTGATACCAATTGATACCAGAGTTATCCCAAAGCACAATAGAAATGAAAATGTTATTGTTGAAATTCAAAAGGGTTTTAACAAAGACTCTTAACAACAGGAAAAATATAAATATCAATATCAAAGATGCCCTAGGGCAAAGATGGTAGAAGTGGGTTACGGTTGCATAGGTGGAAACAGGGGAATCTGGGTGGTGAGGGATGACAGCGGTGGGTAGGATGTGGGGGTTTAGCTGGCTAGCAAATGACACGTGGTTGGAGGTAGATGTAGTACAAGGAGGGGCGGTTGGATAGCAATGTGTAGTAGGTGGGTGGATTGGCTGCAAGAAAAGGGAGGGAGTGGGCTGGCAGCAGGAAGTAAGGATTAGGGCTGGCAACAGGGAACAAGGAGGGGCTTAGGGGCAGTAAGCCAGGAAGGATTCGGGGGCTGGCAACAATAAACAAGGGTGGGTGGAGTTGACGACAGTAAGAAATAAAAGTAAGAATACACGCCACCTTGAGATGAGTTATTGTCGAAGCACCTTTCGCCGTTAAATCCGCCATTGAATATAGCCCTAGAAGGGGAAACAGGATGTTGAGGCTGCCTTGACAAAAATCTCCTCTCTCTCCCTCCCTTTGTGCGGTAACCCTAGCTTTCAAATAATAGTTGAACGGCCTTACAATCCCTTGGCTAAAGCGGTCTAGCTGTTTCAGAGCTTCATCATCCCCTAGGGAGCCCCGTGTCATTCATTGAAAAATTTTTGGTATATACTTTGACAATATCTTGTGTATAGTCTTTTAGAGGAGCATTTGCAATACTTACAACAAGTCTTCAGAGTTTTTTAGATAGAGAAGTTGTATGACTACTCAAAGAAGTGTTATATTCTGACATAATAAACATGCTTCTTTGGATATATTGTTTTAGTAGCCGACATTGAGATGTTCCCTACTAAGATTGAGATTATTGTGAATTGGCCCGGCTCACAGTTGTACACTCAATTACGCCAATTCTATGGGCTTAATTCTCTTAATAAGAGATTTATTAGAATTTTTAACACCAAGTGCACCTTGACAAAGCTTCTTAAGCTAGACATATTCGCTTGGTTGAATGAAGCACATGCTAGTTTTGATGTTTTGGAGTATGTTACTCAACCCCATGTCTTAGCTCATTCAAATGTTAATCATATATTTGAGGTGGAGTGTGATGCTTTCAATATAAGAATTGGAGTAAAATCAAAGAAGATATTCTATACCTTTTTCAGTGTTAAGTTGAACAACTCGAGGCAAAATTATTTTACTTTATGGCAGAGTTTTATCTCATAATTAGAGCTCTTAATCACTAAAGTTATTATTTGTTGGCCAATGAGTTTGCTCGTTATACTATCTTTAGACATTGAGGTTCCCAAACAAAACAAGCTGACGGGTGGGCTTTTTTTTCCATCCTATTTAGTGCTCAAGCGCAAAGCCAAGATAGACTATACGACAGTATCATAGATTCTATGATTATCTGTTTTTTCAGATCAGGTTGTCCATTTATGGGAATCTATTCAGGGAATCTAATTTACTGGACTGTCACATTGGAGGAATGACATGATATTTTTATAGGGACTAAAATTTTTACTTATGAAAGAAAATTTCTATTGGCATATATTGGTATGAGTCATAGAGAAATATGCTTGACAGTGTAGAATGTCAATTAATCAAAATCTGAGCACAGAAACCAACATATTACACTCCCATTTCTGTACTAGATTTACAATGGATAGATGCGAGCATGGATTTTATTGAGAGTCTTCACTGGAGCTGACAAAGTAAAAATTCAGTTATGGTGGTAGTGGACGACTTTAAAATGGTGCATTTTATACTCTGGCATAAGATGATGAATGCTCCACACATTATAGACTTATACTATAGGAAGATGATTCGTCTTCATGGTGTGCCCATAACTATCACTATAGATATAATTGTAAAATTTTCTAGTCACTTATGGAGGACTTTATGGGTTAAATTAGGTACAAATTTTCAGTTTGCTCAGCAACATACCCTTATATTGATGGATAGGTGGAGTTAGTGGATCATAGTTTGGGAAACCTCCTCAAATGTTTTGTGGGAAAGAACATCAAACAATGGAATTTGATTATTCTTTAAGTTGAATTTGTTTATGATAGGTTCGTTAGTCTTTCTATAAGCTACAACCCTTCTGAGATTATTATTGGGGCAAAACTCTCTCACACCGATTCTCCTCACTATTGGGCTTCTTATTTGTGCAGGGGTCATATTCAAACCTTACATGAGCAAGTGAGATGATAAATTGCATAAGTAGGCTAGTAAGTCTAGGAGAGTTATGGTCCTCGGCAAATGCGACATGGTGTGGATTAGATTGAAAATTGAGAGATTTTCTGCAGGGTCATTTGGAAAGCACGAGTCTGTTCATGATTGTAAAAAAATCAATGACAATGTATACAAAATTGATATGTTGGGAGACTTTAATATTGCTGCTACTTTAACGTCGCTGATTTGTTGTACTATGAGAATCCAAAAGTTACTAGCCTCTCATACCTAGGTAGAGTGATGTGGGAGCATCTTCTTTAGGTGGGATGGGATTTCCTGTTCTGTGAGATTTACCAAGGGACATTTCCCACCTACTAGGTAATATCGCTTTTTGGGCACCTAGTTGCCTTATTTTGACTTATAATTTGAGTTTACTATTAATTTGGACAAATTTTGTTTTGGTTTATATTATTTAGAGATTATTTTTTCTTTTCTTCTATGTAGAGGTTTGTAGCCTTCTTCTCTTTAAAGTGGTGAGCTTGTATCTTGATTGAGAGTAGGTGGTGGAACCTGCTTGAAATTCATACCTCACTGATTTCACCTAACATTCCTGTTGACTGTTGTTTTTCTTTTGGACGGTGTAGGGAACTATTTTTTCTTATTTCAATCTTGTTCTTCTTGCCATATTCCTTTCCATTCTACAAAAACTCCCACGCTAGATTTTTTTGTCAAACACTTTCGAGAAACCTTAGAGCGGTTCGAATGTTCAAAGAATGCAACTGTTGTAAATGTTGTGGTAAGATCGTTATGAGCTAAAATTAGGAGATTGAAAGAGATTGCGGGAGAAACACCAATGGAACTGAAAATACATTTAAAAGTTGATTGGGCATGTACATTGAAGTTCAAAGAATGCACCAACAAGGAAGATTAATAAAATTAATGAGAATGGTTTGGAAGGAGAAATTGATGGATTGAATATAACACGATTAGAAGTTAGGCAAAAGGAAATTCAAAATTGGCGTCAATTCAACTCTTTGATATGAATAAGGATGATTCATGTAACTACTTCCAAGTAGTTGAGAAACGACTAATGTTCATGCCCTAACAAATTGTATTTTGAGCTGTTTAAAATACCGCATTTTTTCTTACTAATCTTTGCTTCAAGTGGCTGGCTTCATTCGCATATAAATGTTCGAATCTGTCAGTATTATCATTGATCGCTAATATTCATTTTTTTCTGCAGGCATATGTTGATTCAAGTGTTATTATGGGACAAACAGGCTTATTCCAGAACGATATTGAGAAGTATGGAAATATTGAGTATATGAGATGCTCACCAGAGAATGGTTTTTTTCCTGATCTATCAACTGTATCACGGGCAGATATTATCTTTTTCTGTTCACCGAATAATCCCACTGGGTCTGCAGCATCTAGAGATCAGCTGACAAAACTGGTGCAGTTTGCCAAAGAAAATGGATCTATTATCATATATGACTCTGCTTACGCCATGTATATATCTGATGACAGCCCGAGGACAATCTTTGAAATTCCTGGAGCAAAGGAGGTAGCTGCATGGTTATTTCTGAATTTTTGGGCGTTTGATGAGTTTACTCTGTTTGTTTGGCTCTTTGCTATATTTTTATTTCATATTTTCCTTCTATTCTTTAGTATATTGCCTTGGTGTTATCATTTTTTTTTGTAAACTAATGTCTTTCATTTTTTTCTTATGCCTTTTCTCTGCCTATCTATTTTCAGAATCGCTGTGTTTATGCAGATGATATTTTGTCCCAGCCTATAATATGCACTTCACATATTGCCAGCCTGCAATATTTGCATCTTATCAAGGATTGTGGTTGGCCAGTCGTCAATCATCAAATCCCACCACCCGAAACATCCATTCATCAAAATGAGATGGAAGAAGGGGCTGGTTGGCTTCCCTCGCCATCTAACATCTAGCATTTTCAATGCTTCACTTTTAGTATATGCTGAAGAGCTCCTTATCATAGTTTAATAATTTTTTCAGCACCCAACATCATCCATGAATCTTAGGTCACGTGTCAATGATCTTGGATCAGGACGAAGTCAGTGGCTTTGTTGGATTTTATTGTTTCCATCTCAAAGGGTTGTTTTAGGGTCGATCAAATTCCAATAGAGAATAATAGTTTCCTTTGAATTTTGATCAGTGATATCTTTTTTTCCATAATCTTCTAAGTGGTAGTCCTTTCATCACCTAGAAAAGGTTAGAAAACTCCAAGTGATGTTAATCTGCTTTCCCTATTATCGTCTTGTGTAGGATAAGTTCAAAACTAGGATTTGCATTAATCTTTTGCTTACTTGATTGAGGGATACATGAATTAGATTAGGGGTATTTTAGTGTGTGTTATATAATCTTTTACCAATTTGAGTTGGTTTTTTCCTCAATAATAGATGGTTTTGTGCTTTTAGAAGTATGGATTATCGAAGATCTGTTGTTGCACCTCAAGAGGAAAAGCCTCACGTATGATTTCTGATTGCAAAGCTGAGATGCATTATTTTCCCACAATGTACTCCACTTATTGAAAATGGAAGAGAAAAAACTCACCCTATAATCCGCATAAAAATTTCTTTCATACCTCAACTTCTTACCTCTTCAAACTACAAGGGCTTACTTAGAAAACAAATAACAAACAAGCTTAGCACGAGAATTCTCTGTTTCTGTTGACTGTCTGTAGATTACAAACTTAGCTATCAGGCTCAAAGTCTTCCAAACCAGCTTCTTTGGTTGAATGCACTTGGAATGTTTTAAGTGAATAGTAAAAGATTTTTTCTGGCATGTCAGGCGGCATGAGTGGACTGCGGGCCACCGGTGGATTCATTACTCATGGAAGTTATAGCTGCAGTTTGGGAGTAGCCGGACATGCTTGCTGGTTCGATTTGGTTTAGATAGATTTTTCATTTTGATTGAGGGTCGTGATGGGTAGCTTATTGATTGCTTGATACAATGAAGGTAAAGCATAAATGCAAAAGTAGGCATATGTGTTTAACTATGCATTATTTTGTTATGGGGCTGTTTGGTTGTAAAAGGAATGCAGGTGTTTTAAAAATTTTGATGTTTGGTTGGAAGAAAAGTAAATGCAGTCTAAAGTTTCAATTCATTTGGAATTCATTTTCTAGTTCAATTTTAATTTATTCAGAATTCGGTAGATTCGTGTGATTCCAAATACATCACTTATGTAAAGTATTGGCTGCCGCCATTGCCACCGGCTGGCAGTAGCCGGACGTTCTCATACCTCCGCCGTCCATATTTTGCATTGATTTTGTTTTTTCAAACTAAACACAAAAACATACAGTTTTGCTTTTATTTAACCCTTGAGTCGAACAACTCCAAAATCTTCATTTCAATTACACTGCCTTTTTTTTTCCAGCAAACCAAACTTCTCCTAAATAAACTTTAAACCTGAATTATATAGAAATATCATGAAATTGTTTTGAACTTAAGATCATCTAAAAGGTAGTGCTCTTGACGGTAACATTCAGTACTATAAGCATGCTTGATATAAAGAATTATCTACTTGCATACACATAGCTGATCAATGGAGTTGTATGAATAACAATCATTAGGCCTGAAGATAATTTGCTTTCTATGTTAGGGGTTGAGTTTCTCACTGCAGTTGTAGGATCTTCCTCAGGATTAATTTGTTAGTTTTATCCTCTCAAATTTTGTTCCTTTGTAAGAAACCTAATAACAACATCGAATTTATTTATTAAAATCATTACTTGACTTACAACACAATTCTATATCAATTATCTTTAAAATATCACGTTCATCTTGAAAAGATTTTTCCTCATTCGAACCTTTAGGCCTACCAACCTTAAATTGAACTCAATTTTCTCCTCTCTGGTAGCCTACTGCCATTCTTTTTTTATTTCTTCCGTCTTTCTTGTTCTTCATTATGCCCTTCACAGCATGCTCTTCGTTTTTCTCTACTGCAACTCATGGAATGAGGGAATAAAAAAAGCAGTTTTATGTATATATATATATATATATTGCAATGCGCGGTATCCTCATTAGGAAGAAATTTATTTTCTTCTCTCACATTATATTCCACTAATGACATTTCTTTTATTTATATTTCCTATTTTCCGTTTTTTCCTATTTTGTGGGATTCCTATTTTTATATATATATATGAAGTGAAATTAATAAGGAAGTGTCAGAAATAAAATTCTTTCCAGATTTGTACATGATATTAGAGTGCTAAGGTCCTCCTAAGAAACCTATTTTGCAGTCGGTGTTCATGATTCTCCTCTTCCACTCAAACAGACTGTTATTCGTCCTTTGTGGTATGTCGCTTTGTTATCTTTTACACTCCAATCTGTCCCTTTAGTTCAACAAAATTATTGAAATTCTCTTTTTTCACTTTCTTACACTTGAGCCACAACCAGATCACAGAACCATCTCTCTTGTATGCTCGTGTCGCAGCCACTGCGCACTTTCTGAGGTGCATTTGACTCTATGATTGATTTCGATTGGTTGTTTGAATGTTCCATTTGATTTCCACAATTCGTTTTTTCCTCAGACCATTCAAACGCTCTGTTCGATTAGAGACGACGGTCTTCAACAATACCACAATTTGTTTCTTACTCTTCGGTTCGCTAAAGCCTTGAACGTTTAGTCCATTCAACTTGCCCTAGCCGCCATCTCTCATATGGTTAGTTTGCAAACGGCTCGACCACCTTGCTTGAGTGTTGAGCGCGCGTTACTCTAGAGATGTGCACCTCCATCTAATTTTTGTTGGCTTGTCCAACCAAGCAGTTGAAGTAAGGGTCCTCGCTTTCATTTGAGTACCAAGCCTTTTCTATTCTAGCTTCACATTCTTATCATGGGCATGCATGACATAGCCTCAAAATCTTCCTCCTCAAAAGTCACATCCAAATTCGAGCCTGAGTCTTAAATCCCTACTTTATATGATAACTCTCTCCTAGTCAAAGAATCATAAACCTCAAAATCTTCTTCCTCAAAAGTCACATCCAAATCCTAGCCTGAGTCTTCAATTCCTAATGTATATGATAACTCTCTCCTTGTCAAAGAATCATAAACTGCATGGCTATAATTTTCTTCAATGGTGCTATGTCCCAAACTCCAGATGTGAAAAGTGGAGGTTTGCATTAGGTAGTCGAGAACCGACGTAAAATTTGTCGAAAAATCATGATATGAATTCTTTAGATCTTTGTGTAAATGTTAGGTCGTCCCCTGGAAGCGACCCGTTGTATGACCTAAATACAATGAAAATTGGTGCAAGGGTTGCTACACCGACGCCCAGGTGTAGTATCAAATAGCAGAGGTTCTCACATTACTGACAAATGCGAGTAAAGAAGTTAGTTCATGAAACTAATATTAATATATGAACTTGTAATATAGATACTCTCATAGGTAAATCAATGAAGTTAGTTGATATTATAGTTCATAGGATGATAAATATCTTATGTATTCAAGAAATTAGATGGGTTCGAGAAAATGCTAAGGTGATAGCTCAGATTTTGAACTTTGGTATTTAGGTCGGAGTCACACTAGAAATGGTATAATTGTAATTATAAATAAGAGTTTGAAAGATAATGTTGTAAAAATTACTAGAATTGTAGATAAAACGATAGCCCTTAAGATTGTTGTTGATACCAATATTTTTAATAGTATAAGTTTTATGTTCCTCAAGTAGGTTTATATATATGTTCTAAATAGAAATTTTGTAATAACCTATAAGGCTTAATACAATTGATACATCTTGAAGAAATAATTTTTTTTGGAGGATATTTGAAGGAACATGTTGGTAGAGAGGTAGAAGATTTTAGAAATATTCATGGTGGCTACGGTTTTTGAGTAATTAATGAAGAAGGTAAAGTCACATTAGATTTTGTTTTTGCGTATGATTTTGTTATTGCTAATACTTCATTTAAGAAAATAGGTGAGAATATTATTACTTATAAGAATAAATCTAATAAAACACAAATTAATTATTTTCTTATGAGAAGATGAGATTGTCGAGAATGTAAGATTGTCATTCCTAATGAGAATTTAAGTACTCAACATTAACTATTAGGTCTGAATTTTAAGATGAAGAGATGTAAGATAAATAATATTAGGAATCAATGTCATAGAATTAGATGGAGACATCTAAAAGACAAATAAAATTATTTTTATGAGTAAACTTTTTGATTTTAAGGTTTGGGTTGTTCATGAAGAAACAAATTCTGTGTGATAAGGTAACAGACACTATTAAAAAAGTGACAAAAAGTGGTTCTTAGAGAATCAAAAGGAAAATTTTCTATAAATGAAAATAGTTGGTGGTGGAATAACATTGTGCAAAAAATATTGAAATATAAGAAGTTGTGTTATAAAAATTTGTTTAAATGTAAAAATTTAGAAAACTTGGAAAAATATAAAGTGGCCCGTAGGGAGTTTAAGGGAATAATTTGTAACGCTAAAAATTTTGCTTTTAGTGGTCTTTATTATAAATTAAATATTAAAGAAGGTGGAGAATATATGTATAAACTAGCGAAACAACCTTAGTGATTTAACTCAAATAAAC